TAATTTTTCAAGGTCATGAATTGATTATGAAGGCTTTCAATATTAGTTGTTTTTTATTTGTTTTACAATTCTGTGCATTTTGACACCAAGATCCACCATATACTATAGCGTGTTCGGGAGATGCATTTTTTAGTATTTTAGACCGGGATTAATGACATTTGACCCCTCATAAAAAAGTTTCACCATCCCAAAGCCCACCTAACTTTTTTTTGGTGTATTCTGGTATATATCCCTACACAAATCAGTTGAAATCCGCTTCTTTCTAATTTTTTCGTTCGGTTGTGTAATACGTTTGAGTCGGATATTGTATAGCAGAAGTGTGCGAGTCCACATAAAACATTCGTGAGACTTTCTAGTTTTGGGTGTCTTCTACTGAACAGTAAGTTTACTGTTGTTTGAGCGATAGAAAGTGTTTTACACTACACGAATGTTCATACACAGCAAAAGGAGGCCCGACCACAAAAATATTTGTTTGAAATAAAGCAATAAATGTCAATATTACGCGTGTTCAGCTGATCCGTAAACTGTTTCGGTAATGTTTGGCACCAGTAGGTGAGTACTTCATTTATTTTAAACAAACAAGGGTTTAAGTTTCAAGGCTCAGTTTATTCAATCATGTACAAAAATACATGAAATGTGTTTTTCTTGGTATAAAGTAAACATAAAATATAAACGCATTCCATCCAGAAAATATATCATTCATTAAGTCTTATGTACAGTTATGCAACATCCCACTAGAGCAATCTAACTGCAACACCAAAGATGACATCATCACGATTTCGCCAAGAGGGTATAAATTTCTACACAAAGGCAAAAGGCTATGTTAATGCATTAAGCGGAGTCGAAAGTGGCGTATATTAACGTCTAAAATGTAATGAAATTAGCATTAGAAGATAATTTTTATAACAACGTATACATTTTGAATGAATCATAGATTCACGAGTCTAAGGTTGAGTTGATTACATGTCCATTCAGAGTAAAAAATAGTACCAAACTTTTATCCACATGCTTCGATTTGTTTCAAATGACGCAACTCATACACGACCCAACCCGCGTCACAAATTCCACCCAAACCACGATCGATCTTATTTTTAGCTCGAAGCCTGAGGTAATACATGAAAGTGGTGTCTTACCTGTACTCATTAGTGACCACTCCTTGGTGTACGGTATACAAAATTGGAAAATCCCTAAAAACGAAAGTCGCTATGTTAATTTTATATTTTTTAACAACTTAGATAATGAAACTTTCCAACGCGATCTCCTGAATGTTCCATGGGAAAATGTTCTAACCTGTCACAGGGTTGAGAAGGCATGGGGTCTATGGCACTCCCTATTTATGGGTGTCATTAACCATCACGCTCCGATAAAATCCAAACGCGTTCGAAGCACCTCTTTACCTTGGCTTGATGTTAAAATTACCCGACTTATGCGTCAACACGATCACACTCATGAAATTGCAAAACAATCTAATTCTGAAGATGATTGGGACGCATACAAAAAAATACGGAATACCGTAACCAACAGCATCCGTAAAAAGATAAAGGAGTATTTCACATCAGCGATTGAAACTAACAAAGGAGACTCTTCCATGCTGTGGAATAAACCGAAATCGGTTCCAAGCTCAATCACTTCCAAAAATGGAAAAAATGTAAAAAATCAAGCCGAAATTGCTGATATATTTAATGAGCATTTCTCCACTATTGTAGGACGTATGGCAAGTAGTGACGACGTCACGCGCGAAATTGAAATGGACAATGCCCATTTATCTTATTCTGAACCAATTCAGCAATGTACTCTGCATAAAATCACGGAAGATTTTGTTCGAAAACAAATCACATCAATGTCGCCTTGCAAAGCAACTGGTCCGGATGGCGTTAGTGTAAAAATGATAAAGCTTGCGTCTCCGTACATTATTAAATCATTAACGCACGTATTGAACCTCTAAATTAAATGTGAACAGTATCCTTCAGATTGGAAACATTAGTCACACCGATTCACAAAGGAGGAGACAAATGCAATACTAGCAATTATAGGCCCATTTCAACACTTTCAATTATTTCAAAGATTTTATAAAGATGGGTGCACTCGGCTGTTTATTCATTCCATAATGGAAATAATCTTATTCCTCGCTGCCAATCGGGGTTTAGACCATTGCATTTAACTGAAACAACATTGCATGACTTAACGAATGAATGTCTTCATGCTATGGAGCGTGGTGAAATGACTGGTACTGTTTTTATTGATCTCAGTAAAGCATTTGACTCTGTAAACCATAAAATTCTCCTAGATAAACTTAGGCATATGCATATGTCTGCTTCTGTCATTACGTGGTTTACATCTTACCTAAGCGATCGAAGTCAATCTGTTAATATTGGTGGGAAATTATCAAAACCTTTGCCATTAAACACTGGCGTACGCCCACAAGGATCGATTTTGGGACCACTGTTATTTATTATTTATTCCAGTGATCTGTCACCTTGTATCCCTCTAAATTGTAAACTATTTATGTATGCTGATGACTCAACGTTAACCTGTTGCTCCTCCAGTGTTAAGGATATTGAAAATAATTTAAATGTCGCACTGGATATAGTTAACGATTGGGCCATTAGAAACAAACTTATAATTAACTCAAACAAGACTAAATCCATGCTCGTTGGATTCAAAAACAAAATTTCCAATGTAGACTTCAATGTAACCATTGCCCGTACTGTAATTGTTAGAACGAAATCATGTAAGTGTCTTGGTGTCATCATTGAGGAAACTTTGAGTTGGACACCACATGTTGAATTCGTCAAGAAAACTGTTTCATCCAGACTGGGTATGTTAAGGTAATTGTGTCCCCCAAAGAAGCCTAAACACTCTGTTTGTAAGCTTAGTTAGGCCATCTTTAGACTATTGCTGCACTGTATGGGGAGGTCGTTACATATCCCACAATGCCTTACTTAACAAATGTATTTAAAATGCAATTTTCTTACCCCATCTGCAGATATGTTTGCACAACTCAGTTGGCTTTCGTTTTCCGAAAGGGTTACGTATACAAAAGCTATACTTGTTTATAAATGCATTAACCGATTAACACCTTTATACATGACAAACCTTTTCACACCGTATTTGTAAGCTCGTGAAAAACAAAGACCATATTCAGCGCTGACTAAGGCGATCGCTGTTTATTTAGACGTACACATTCTGCTTAAATATTAATGTTACTGTTAATGTCATTTTGTTGCAATTTCTATATAAAATACCTAAACTATTGGACAAACTTAAATTGCGAATTAAACTTGGCAAAACTTTTATTTGTCGGACTGTGTAAGTCTGAGTTGTTACTAATCTAATATAGGTCTGGAACGTTTTTATCTGAATGATCCTCATATACATACAAAGAAGTGAGCTCTCAGAATCATATTTGACAACTCGTACAATAACTACAATAGTGCTCTAATATTGTCTAACATAGAAATGCTGGAGTGTAGAGAAACAAATTTACTCACCAATTATGCAAATCACCAAATTTTAGTTCCTTTATACCTCCTCAAATAGACCACTGATATAGTTTGAGAAAGAAAAATCAATTCAAATTACGTACTTTAAAATATTAATAGATACAGCAATAGTAAAGCCCAGTTCCATACTTCATTATTATCTTCAACCAGCAACTTGTACTTACACTTGCATTATATATTTAAACCTCAATACTAACTTATTAAGCTCAGATTAATCAGTTCATTATAATTCATAGTTTAATTTTTATATCAATGTATTTTTACTGTTGTATAACCTTACCAAGAACATTTGAATTTGTATTTGTATTGTTGTTTCGTAAACTTTGTGCAATGCACATAGACCCAGGTCTATTTTTTTGTAATATACCATTCGTATTAGCTGCAAAGCTACAATGATGATATTTTGAAATGTAATTTGAACTTGATATATGATATATATAACAGAAAGTATTTTATTTCTACACTTATGGTAATAATAATAAATTAATAATTATTAATAATTAACCAAATCCAAATCAATTTTCTCTAAAGTGCTTCATAATCTTCACAGATAATCTTTATTGCAGAGAATAGCGTCTTCGGTTAAGTTAGACAATTCCACAGGCATGGAACTTAGCACAAAAATGATATATCAGCAAATAGATGTCCTTCATGTTCCACCTAGAAAAACATTCAGAAGATAAAACGCTTTCCTCCTTATTTAGGATCGGAAGGAGGCTTCATATTCTTTACAAACCCATTTTTTCAGATGTTGTTCGGCTTTCTTTTCTGCAGTATAAACATGTATACTACCAATACGACCGCAATTAATTGGACGCCACAGCATATTTGAAAACCGAGACGGTAACTGTTGACAGAGAAACCTGAACAAATATAGAAATAAATTGCATTTGTTAGAATCATCATTGATTACCAGAAAAAAATTAATTTTTAAAAATTCAAAAAATGAATTTTTTTTTTACAGTAATCAATTTTTATTGGGAGTTAAACAAACGCCAAACCAATAATATACACTGCAAATGTTGTGTCATTTATGACTAAAGATATTTTTTAGTATTTATTCGGTTTAGTTACATAATTTCTAGGCTGAGTTTGTAGATTTTTTTAATCATTAATACCGGTACATCTTCTTACCTACAATTGCTGATGATATCGATCCTACTCCTTCTGCCAACAATATCCAGGAAATTGCGTCATCTATTTCATTTGTTTTTCTAACAAACTTAGTCGCCAAAGTAACATATCCGTGCCATAGCGTTCCAATCGCGAATCCGTGAAAAGCTGAGCTGATATAAAATATCAAAAAACTATGTCCAATTGCAAATATAGAAAACGATGTTAATTCGAATAACTGTGCAACTGCAGATATTTTTATTATCAGAGTAACGTCAATATCACCAAATAAAAATAGAAAAAGTCTAATCAAAACGCATGAAATAACTGATGCCAACAAAATCTCACTGGCGTCAATAGGAGAGATGCCTGAGTCTACAGATAAAGTCCTATAAAAAGTCATTGTGTAATAAAATTCCTCCGCCGGGATTCGAACCTGTGACCTCTCGACCTCTCGCTGAGAAGGCGAGCGTCATAACCACTAGACCACGAAGGCTTCATGGTTGAAAAGGTCCAAATAACCGTCGAGAACATTGTATTACACAAAGGTGCTTCTCTAGAGGGCGTTCAGCCAGATAAAACTGGTGATACGGCTACAAATAAATACTGTCGTATATTGTATATGATATTGAAGGAAGTTAGTCGTTAACACTGTTGAATAAATATAATATATGATCATCAAAGGTACATATACAGTGTTTAATAAGGACACGATGGAACATCGTAGGCTACCCTGTATGTAAATATATATAATTACATATATATATATATATATATGCATATATATAATTCTATATATATATATATATATATATATATATTATATTTACCTCTGCCTTTTAATCTATATATATATATATATATATATATATACATATATATATATATATATATATATATATATATATATATTATATTTACCTCTGACATTGCACAGTGCTAAGTAATTATACAATAAAGGTGATTATAAATAGATATTTCAATCAATGGGCGTTAATTAAAAAAAAATAACAATGTAACCTTGAAGCATATGTAATGAGTGTCACTCTCAGTACATAAACAGTATATAGTATATACAGTGCATTTATATGAACTACAGGATTAATATAGACCATAAATGAGACCATGTTATAAGCATCCATTTTGTCTTACCATATATTGATCTAGATATTGTTCATAACTATGCCTTCACTAGTTACCTTGTAAGCACACCGCTATAACAAACATCCACTTGTTTCTAGCACCAACGGAGAGGAAGAGTAGGACACAAAATGACACGAACCCAGCAACACTTCCCAACCTCCTCATACCAAATCTTCTAAGTAGTGCACTTCCAGTTGGACCTATTTGGAAACAATATACAGTGTATGACATTTGACATTACTGTTCCTTTATACACCCATGTCAACTACAGAAGAACTCCTCCTTTGGGACACCACTTTTCAGGGGATACCCCTATTAAGGGGACACTTTTTCCATGAAACGGGGGAAACATATATTTAACACTACGGAAAACCCATTAAAAAAAAATTAAAAAAAACAAACAAACAAAACAAAACTATTAGTGGACGGTGACACTTTCTGAGTGTGCCAATTGGTCCAATCAATACATTTTAAGACATATTAAAGGTATACTTTTTCTTACATTAGACACAGATATGAAAAATTCATTCAAATTTACATTTTGAAACCTTTTGTGCATGTCCTACTTAATATAAATACAATCTTGTCACTTTTGACCAAACCATGGTCATTCTTGTTTTATGTAGTTTCATATAGAATTTGAATCTATTCCAAATAACCTGCATCCTGATTTATATTACTCTATTCATGCTATTCTATCTTGTGCATCCGATAGAAAGCTGTGTATTTCAAAAACAAAAATATTTTGTCATTAACATTGTACTCAAATCATGACACAATATTGAGAACATATACAACATTTTTTTGTTTTAATTACATTGCTGTTGCTTCATATCCTTAATTGTTCTTGCATAGCAAATTCTTGTTATTAATTAGTTCAATTCAACTGTAACTCATTCTTAGGTCAGTTATTAATACAATTATAAATAAATAAATAAATAAATGTAATAAATAAATACATAAATAAATGTAATCATTGTATAGGAAACATGCCAAAACCATATTAAGGGAATAATTTCACGTTTTTGGTCAGTTTCCCCAGAATAGAGGTGTTCCCTTCAAGGGACACCACTATTAAGGGATAAAGGTGTTCCCTTCAAGGGACACCACTATTAAGGGGAAACTTTCTTTTTTGGTCCCAAATGTGTATCATATGATCAACGAAAGATAATTCCTGCAACTAAACGGGCCCCTGCTCTAAATTGCAGTCACAGCATCCCAAAATGAATTTAAAAAATATATGTTTTTATTTTAGTACATATGGGAATAACTTCCATTTATTATAATTCCTCATCAACCACAAAAAATTAGTACAATTTATATTACTTGCTTTTGGTTTAAAGTACTTACCAATTCCTGCCAATACTGCCAGTTGGATTGCTCCCCAGAAAGAAACGAACCCCTCGCTACAATTCATCTCGTAAGCAACTGGTTTAGTAATAATTCCTATGATGATATAGTTTAATCCAATAGCAATGAAATTCACGATTCCGCTAATCAAACAAAATATCTTAGAACGAGTAGTTCTATCATACTTATACCAAAATTTAAACGCCATTTTATAGACAACAGGAACAGAGTACAGGTTATTGACGACAAAGGTCAGTTCAGTATTTGAAAGTGTTCTTTTGTTAAATGAATCCTATTGTAAGATTAATCCCACTGTTATTACTTCATTTGTTAACTTTCGCATTCCGAAAATATCTCGGCGGTAATCAATTATGACATGTAGGCCTACCATCATTGGTTTTTCTTCTTTTACTCATATTTTATTTACTTCTACAGATGCTATTTGGTACTACACTAACAGTGGAAAAACACATTGTATCCTATTCAAGAAGAGCCAATAGATGACATGCATCATTTGCTTTAGGATGTAAACATATCACGTAATCCAGATATTTATATTTACACTATATCGGCTATTCGACTCATAACATTTCCATACAACCCATCATGAAATTTCCATTCACCCCATCACACAATGTCCATACGCTCGAGCTTATCGACAGTTAAATATAACTACTATATAAACGTTGACAATGTACTTGGAATTAATTTCAGTCAATAAAGTTCTGACTGAATATTTCCGTTGAAACCTGAACTGTAAGTAGAAATACTGATAATCTTTTTTTTACTTTAATGCATGAAATCCTTATTGGTGTATGCAGCAAGCGCAATTTACAGCCAGCTATTAATGCTTTAATTATTCACTTTAGAGTAGTTTAATAAAAAATATTTAGTCAATTAATGATTGTTATTTAACGTATTAATTTTAATAGTATGAAACTGAGGGGTGTTCTTTTAGTCACAGTCTGACAATAATTGTGATTTTTATAATTAATTATATAATTATATAAATTATTAATTTATATAATTAATGTTTTAATTGTTTTGTTTTTTTCAGTGTCATCAGTTTAAGGTAGTGGCTATCGGCACTGCCAAAAAAAGCTGCTGTTTTCTATCGGCACTGCCTCAGTGCCAAAATCTGCCGTTTTCTATCGGCACTGCCGCAGTGCCAAAAAGTTGCTGTTTTCTATCGGCACTGTCACAGTGCGAAAAGCTGCTGTTAATTAATCGAATCGATGTTTTTATCGATAGATGACATTGGTGTAATTCATAATTCATAATTTTATTTCACTCAAAACGTAATGAGACTGGTTAGGCAAAAACATGTCCCTGTACAAGATGCCTACCAGAGAAACAATGATAATGTTAATGGCAAAGACATAATAATTGATTAGGTCTAGCTTAGCCTATATTATTGTTAACATTATTATATTTATTTAACAATTAGTTTAAATAATTATTTATAATTAAATTATTAAATGTATACAATATATATTATATAGGCCTAGGCATATACATAAAACAAAAAATAAACAAACAATAATAATAATAATAATAATGATTTTACGATAGTTTAATTACTGAAATTGTAATAATCAGCATATTAAATAAAATTACGTCCATGCAAAACCTGCTTAAAAAAAAAAAGTTATCTATTTGATTCTGTTTTAAAAATTAATCTTAAATATTATGAGTTTATTTTCTGCGATAATTTTATGCACATATGCATATTCATGTTTTCAATGTTAATCTGGTTGATAAATAATATATTTAAAAAAATAAATAATAATAATAATAAAGGTGCTCGAATGCTTTAGTGAATAATTAATACTTCAATAATGCTTCAATAGGCCTATTTACGATAATGTGATTAATGAGATAATTGTTGATTAATATAGAATATAATATAGAAATATAATAGGTAGGCCTATATACCATTAATAATGATTCAGCATATTAAATCAACAATACGTCGTAATGTAAAATTTCTTTGGTTTAATAATAATAATAATAATAATAATAATAATAATAATATAATAATTTTACGATAGTTTGATTAATGAAATAGCAATTAATCAGCATATTAAATAAAATTACGTCCGTGCAAAACCTGCTTTTAAATAAAAACATTATCTATTTGATTCTGTTTTAAAAAATAATCTTATAAATTATAAGTTTATTTTCTGCTATAATTTTATCCACATATGCATATTAATGTTTTCAATGTTAATATGGTTGATAAATAATATATATAAAAAAATAAATAATAATAAGAACAATAATATTAATAAAGGTGCTCGAATAATGCTTTAGTGAATAATTAATAATACTGCTTCAATAGGCCAATTTACGATAGTGCGATTAATGAGATAATTGTTGATTAATTTATAGAAATATATTAGGTAGGCCTATATTCCATTAATAATACGCGGTAATCGCGCAATAGTATTAGCATTTGCATACATGAAAACACTTTGGCCATGCTTTTGCTTTTTGTTTTTGTTTTGTTTTACATTTTCATCCAGCGTTAGGCCCACTGAATTGTTTAAACTTTATAATGTACGGTATTTTATAAGATTATTTTTTTAAACAGAATAAAATAGGTAACATTTTATTGAAAAAAAGCCAGATTTTACATCTACAGACGTAAGTTGATTTAATATGCTGAATCATTATTAATGGTATAGGCCTATACCTATTATATATTTCTATAAATTAATCAACAAATATCTCAATAATCACACTATCGCAAATAGGCCTATTGAAGTATTATTGAAGTATTATTAATTCTTTATTAAAATATTATTCGAGCACCTTCATTATTATTATTATTATATTATTATTATTATTATTATTATTATTATTTTATGAATTATTTATCAACCATACTAACATTGAAAACATGAATTATTTGGATAAAATTATCATAGAAAATAAACTTATAATTTATAAGATTATTTTTTAAAGCAACAGAATAAAATAGATAACTTTATTTTAAAAAAAACAGGTTTTGCATAGACGCAAGTTGATTTAATATATGCTGATTCATCTCATTAATTAAACAATTTTTATTCATTTCGAGCACTGTTATTATTATTATATTATTATTATTATTACTATTGTTACTACTATTTTATTTTTGTTTTATGTATGGGCCTAGATATAGGCTATGTATATATTTAATAATTAGAAATCATTATAATTTAATTATAAAACATATATAATATAATGTTAACAATATTATAGGCTAGGCTAGACCTAACCAATTATTGATACCATAATCATTAGATAAAAACATCCATTTGATAATTAAACAGCAGCTTTTCGAGTGGCAGTGCCGATAGAAAACTGCAGTGTTTTGGCACTGCGGCAGTGCCGATAGAAAATCGGAGCTTTAATCGCACTGCGGCAATAATGCCGATAGAAAATAACAGCTTTTTTCGCACTGTGGCAGTGCCGATAGAAAACAGCAGCTTTTTTGGCACTGCGGCAGTGCCGATAGAAAACAGCAGCTTTTTTTTTCGCACTGCGGCAGTGCCGATAGTCTCAGCCTCAGTTTAATGCCATTCACATGTATGTGTGGGTGTTATAAAATGTAGGCCTAATAAATTCTTTTT